AGGGGATTTGGGTTAGGACCAGTTCTACATGTTCTGGGGTCGTTGAAAGTTATGTCGTCGTGTAGTATAGAACATGCGACATGGGCGCTGATATAATGGATGAAAGACAACGTGACACCCCTCCGACGTAAAAGAGTTTGAGGAAGCATGAATCAAAGGTCAGATAGTGCGTAGATCGGCCTGAAAACATGGGTAGATTAATCTCTGATTTGCTAGTAGTAGTAGACTAAATTAATGTGCTCGCAAGTCTCATCGGCGAAGTGATCAAGATGTTTGTTTTGCGCTCTGAAGGTAGTGTGTTAATTTCACGAGTGTCTCTTTTGGTTCACGAGTGCAGTTTGCATTGAGACACCTGAGGATCGTCGTATGAGCTACGATCTTCGTAATTTGTGCGACTGTCTTTGCGACCGGCTAACTATTTAGCGGAGAGGCCCGAGAATTGAAGTCGATAATCTCGACTTTGATCTTTTACTGTGCCACAAAATTATATGCGTTTAAAAGACTGCAGGTTAACAAGGTTAACCTTTTTTTTTTCTGGTCGCCCCCTCCTTTTTTGAGCATGTGGCAAGACCTCTACCCCATCACCCTCACACACACACAAAATTGGATTAAAAAGAGTCGGCCAATAACTTTTGCAACAAGTGAAACAGAAAGTACGGAGTACTGGTAATCTGGTAATCCTAGTTTCAGCTTCATAGCAAACGGGTCACCCCACAGATGCTCTGCTCCTGTGCCAACGAAAAACAAACGCAGCTCACAGTGTCACGCCATGCACTCAACTCAGAAGCTGGGCGACGAAACTACATCCTTTCAGTCTACAAATGGAGCGAAAATGCAACGGTCACCGTCTGGCAAAAAAAAAAAAAAACATTTGCCACGGCTTTAAACAAAAATTTAAAAAAAGGTGGCCATGCCTAGCGTCCATTTTGACCGGAAGAATTATATGAGGGTTAATTAACGGTCACCCCAGCAGTACCCTCATTATTAGCTGGGGAAGGGGCTTAGGACATTACATCCACCAGCAGGCGTCGCCCCTACAACGACCTGCCTGCCAGTGCGGAGTACGTTTTGGTCGGAATGTGTTCTTATTCTATAATTAAATGTACGTGTTTTGTTAATTGGATTTTAAAGATAGATATACAAACTGCTCATGAAAACGCAAATTTCATTGTTTTGTTTAATAAATAAGACCACTGATAAATAGCAAGCTGTGAATGCCCATGCACTCGTGTGTTCTCGCACAACAGGCCTGTCTGTGTAAATCAGCACATCTACTATGTGATACCGTATACTGTACATAATTCAAAGGAAAGAGGGGGGGGGGTGGTAGTGGTGGTGGTGCCGTATTCCAGTGTCGTAATTCAGTTAGTCAGTGTGCAATGCCACACACAGTTGTGGGTGTAGCCATTTGCTATATTTAGGGATCAATGGGAACGGCATTTTCATGTCCGGGACACACGACTGAGTTGCCACATTGATACAATACCAATCCACAATACATCATAATCATATCTTCCAGTTATCAGAGCATCCACTTTACTGTATTATTTATTTTTATTATTTTGTTAAATATTTGCATACATGGATCACATTTTTATCACCTGAAGCATAACATTTGAATCATTTGCTCTTGCATAAGAAATACTTGTTGACAGTGTGTGAATTATGTCTTTTTATATGTGTGTAAATAATATATAATTATATTTGTAATTATTATGTTTTATATGTTTTTCCTTTATTTAGTACATATAGTTACAAATCATTGAAAAAATTATATACATTAATTTAGATATAAATTTGCTGTATTTGAATAGGTCTTTTTCATTGTAATGTAAGAACACCTCGATAACTTTACGGTTAGATAAAAATTAAATACGAACCGAGCTTCTCCAGCTATTACCTGGCATATGAACCACGTCTGCTTGAGAAGCGCAGTGCAAGACGAAGCGTTTTGACTTTGTCACAGTCACGAGCTTGTTTCTCTTGCCACATAGTTATCGCAACATTCCAGTGTTATTTCTGTTTCTGCCAGTATATCCATCTACAACAGCCACCATGATTAACGTCAAGTGTATTGCAGTTCTGTTGTTTATTGGGATTATCGCCAGCCTTAATCACAACAGCGTTGCCATAGACGTAGACACAACCACCGAACCGATCACTACGGAGAAAAGTACGTAGTATATTGTTTTTGTTGTTAAGTATATATATCTTAAAGCAGACTTCCTGGTCCATTCCTTCGACCTGTAATTACTTAATTATTAGTGATAGGATTGTGATCAAATCTGGTCAGTATGAATTCTAGTAGGAGGAATTATTTGCTGTGTAGTAAAAGGTATCAGATCAGTGTCTAAAGTTCTAAAGTGTCTTCCGTCATTATTAGTATAGTATATTTGTCATACATATATATGCCATATGCTTTTGGAATTTATATGGAGTTAGGAAGAATGTATCATTGTATCCAAAAAGTAAGACGACGACTAGGAAGACAAGAAAACCACATCATTGTGAGATGAATATGACTCGATAGAAGTTACCATTAATAATTTGGAGATTTACAAATATAAATATGCCAACAATCTCATTTGACCATTTGAGTTTGTGCGACAATCATAATCAATCATTTATTCATTGTGCCTAAGCCTAAGCCCTACAGTAGGGCCTATTCAAGTGGTTGGGCAGGCTGATCCTTCCCAATTGTATTGTGTTAATGATCTTTCTATGCTGGGACTTGGGCCCCTGGACCGCTATGGTCCCCGTTTTCAGCATTTGGGGCTAAACTAGATGGCTAGGACTTACGAGCAACGCTGCAGAAGATGTGAAAGCTTTTTTTTTTTTTTGTGCTGTTAACTATTACACTACCGGCTTAACTATTTCACTACCAGGTAATATCTATATTGGGCTATCCTCTGAATAAGGGTCCCAAATTATCGAGGCTAAGAAAATACCCTAACAGAGCCTCAGTCGTGTGTAAATTGCGGACCTCCTTCCAACGACTATACTGCATACCGCGGAAAAGCTACCGCCAAGTCACAGTCACCGCCGAGAGTATCTCCGCACTGCACATAGCTAAACTAGATGGCTGGGACTCACGAGCAGCAACTTCTGCATCTCTTGCAGCTTCCTCCATCTAGTTTAGCTCCGCGAAGCGCTGGGGTTGATACTCTTGGTGGTATCGTTGTCGGAAAGAGGTCCGCAATTAACATATGATTAAGGCCCTGTTAGGGTATATTCTTAGCCTCAATAATTTGGGACCGTTTTTCAGAGGATAGCCTCTATTTTGTTTTTGTTTCCCCATGGAACAGTTATGTTTCAGCCTGAAGCAGTTCAAAAAGGGCACTGCTTGTTGGCCCTTCCATGGCTGTTTATCAGTAGCATCCATTAGTCATTATATTTTTCAGTAAATTGAAAATAATATTCTTCTTCTGTCTTTTGTCATCTGTTAAAGCATAGACCCTTCCCTGTGTGGGTTCTGGGGCCTCATTGTGGGGAAGACAAGAATAGACTCACTGCCTGCCCAAAAGCATTGTTGTTAGAGTGAACTAATCAGGAGCTTCCTTCAAAGTCGGAGTAGATCTGCCTGAGAGGCAAGGAAACAACAGTCAGCATGCAGATGAGTTGGACATGTGAAACGGATGTGCACGCAACACAGTTTCTGGAACAGGACTAGAGTCCAGAAGTAGATGAACTACCAGAACTTTCCGCCCTAGTTTACACTCAGTTAGCACAAAGAAGAAGAAGCATAGGTCGTCATCCATGACTGTCATGCTGATGTCAACTGGTGTGTGAATGTCACATAAGGAAGAAGTCCTCTCCTGATCAGGGCCTTTCCCAAAGCTGACGTTGGATTAATTGGAATGCAGCCAAGAGTGTGTGGTAAATTCCAGAATTTTTGCAGCAGATTTTACAACTTTAGTATTGACCCAGTCTTACATAAAAATGTCTACAGATTATCTTTGCAATGTTGTTGGAATTCTCCCAGAAAGCATGACAGCAAAGAAAGGAGCTCGTTTAGTCACACCTAAGTTTCTCTCTTTGGCTACCCCTTTTTCTCATAATAAACAAAAACCTTGGATTAACCAGATTTGGCACAATGTCTTTCTTTGTATTTGGGGATGCACAGTGTTCAGCCCAAATTTGTGTCAGCATTGCCTTCTGTCTTGACCAGGGAGGCTGTATGGTTGCAGCAGAGATTATGTAAATGCTTTGATGTATCATATGTGGAAATTCATATCACCAGTGTCTGGCACTTCTGTGTGGGTTCTGTGCCTCATTGTGGGTGGGGGAAAGAGAATAGACCCATGCCCCCTTAGTAGGCATGTTGTAAAAGGCAGTTAATTAAAGGTTTGCTGAAATCTGATGTGCCCCATTGTGGTACAAGGAAAAAAAAAAGACCCCATGCCTCCCAAGCAAGCATGTTGTAAGAGTTGACTAATTAGGAGCTTCCTTCAAAGTCAGTGCATCTGCCTGAAAGGCAAGGAATTGACAGTCTACATAAGCCAGATCTGTAAAATGGATGTGCCCTCAGAACTGAATTTTTGGAACAAGACTAATGTCAAGAAGTGGATGAACAACCAGAACTTTTTATTTTAAAGTTTACAGCTTGTGAACACTAGTGAATGAACAAACAAAATGTAATGTTACACTGAAAGGTGCAGATACTGCAGCCTATCTGTGTACTACAACACAAAACCCTTATATGCCATGTTTGCCTCATGCATCTACACCTTCATAAACAGGTCAACTGTAGCAGATGTCATGGATTTATTTATTTCTCACAACAGCTTCAACAACCTCCGTGACTCCCTCACTCAACAGCAAAACTACAGCAGCCAGCACCACCTCAACTCCCCCTCTCAGCAGCACAACTACACCAGCCAGCAGCACCCTAACTCCCCCACCCAGCAGCACCCTAACTCCCCCACCCAGCAGCACAACTACACCAGCCAGCACCACCCCAACTCCCCCACCCAGCAACACAACTACACCAGCCAGCAGCACCCTAACTCCCTCACCCAGCAGCACAACTACACCAGCCAGCAGCACCCCAACTCCCTCACCCAGCAGCACAACAGAAGGTCCCACCACATCAGAAGGTAAATATATATATATATTTTCTTCTTCTTCTTATAGTCCATGCTATGTGTGGCATTGGTAGTCATGTCTCTCCACAGTCTTTTGTCTCATGTACTTTCTGTCAGTTCTGACACTGATGATCTGCCATACCATGGTGTCAGACTGTCCTTCATCTTCTCTCTTGGTCTCTCTCTGCCTATTTTCTTACAGACCTTCCCACCGTCACGATATACTTGTTTTCTCCTCATGGCATGACCAAAGAATGTAGATTGTCTCCCATCTGGTGTGGACTTCTTATTTATGAGTCGCTTTCTTTAAAGACATTTTCTGATTACTGATTTAAGAATGAGTAATGCTTTTTTTTTTTCTGTCCAGAGCATTCTTAATCAGTTCATCTGTCAAACTACATGTTTGTCTCTTCCAAATTATTTTCACTAATAGTCCAACTGTCCATGATTCACTTCCATACATCAGTTTAATATTTATATAGCTCTTGAGAATACTCTTTCTCGTTTCAGTTGATAATGAAAGATCATGGAGAATGTTTTTCAGTATGTATTAGCTGGCCGTTGGTGGTTTTATTTCTCAGCTTCTGTGGAGTGTATTGATTCTTACATACTTGAGTATATTGTACATACAGTTTTTTTTCCACAGTTCACTCTTGTTACTTATATAAGAAAGGTTAATTGTGCGCCTGTGTATTACACTTTTAGAATGTGCTCCACTAAGGTGCAAAACACAACAGGGGTCTTCCAGTCTTCAATAGTCCTCTTTCGACAAATGTTTTGGCTCTCTTACTTTCCTCACACTCTCCTGGTACGGGCCAACCCCATACCCTGACTCCCGGGTTTTGGGACTCTCCTTTTGGACTTTAAAATCCTTGACAACAAAATGGGACAAGTGTTCAGGTACTGACACTGCTTTTTATGTTTATCACTTGGATTGCACTATGCAGCTTACCATATGTTTGTTGGCTTCACTATCCAGCCATCATCAATCAGCAGAGGTCTTTTTACAGAATGTCGCTCTCTTCACGGCACGGCTGAAAGTCTCTTTCTCTAGCTGATTCTCCAGTCCTGTGTGCTTTCTCAGCCAATACCTCTATATCTTGTATCCACCTTTACAAAAGTCTGCGTCTGCGTCATTTTCTAGAAACAACAACCGTCCATCGCCGGTCTCTTCATGCTAAAAGTCCTGTGTGCTTTCTCAGCCACTACCTATCGGAACTCTTCGCCTGCTGCTGAAAATGGGGACGGAGCGCTTATGGGAGTGCCCTGAGTGCTGTGATGTCGGTTCTTAAGTCAAATCAAATCAATCAGCCAATACCTGTAAAATATCTTGTATCCACCTTTACAGAGGTCTGCATCTGCATCATTTTCCAGAAACAACAACCATCTAACACGGTTCTCTCCAGGCCACCCTCCAAAATACCTCAGCTTTCAGGAGAGGTGCTCTTTGTGAGCTAATTCTTTTCAGGGTTCAAATCGTGTAGGATGTTATTGATGTCTTTGTTTGTCATTTTTTTCATCCATGGTATTCTGAAATGTTTTCTGTAGCATTTCACTTCAAAAGCTCCAATTTTTCTTCTCCTAACAGATTAAAGAGTCCTTGACTCACAACTATAAACCCAACACCCAGTTGTGGGTTTATGATTGTGAGTACGTCATTCCTATAAATAAACAGAGGGGGGAACCATTTGAAGCCGTTAAATATTATGAATTAATCAAGTAACAGAAAGTATTGTGAACGGCACTCGTAGAAAGAAGTAGAAAGATAGAAGAACACACTAGACAACATAAAAATCGAAAGCTATAGTTACCGTGCCGGGAATTGAACCTGTCACCTCCAGACGGCGTCTGCGCCTCGCCATGAATACAAGTGCACTAAGATACATGGTCAACTCGGCCCCCCCAAAAAAAGGTGTCTCATTGGCCATGTCTATCGTACAGCTTGAAATCCACGACTATGGAATACGGACAGAATTCATTTCAACCCATTGAAATGGCACCATAGGTTACAGAAATTTATATTAACGAGGCAAATGTCAAATAACAATCACAGCAACAATTTACGTACACAGTAGACCTTATTGCCCTGTCTAGAATACACAAACATTTAAGAAAGGTATTTGATTGGTAGGTTCCGGTGTGTATACGTCATTCCTATAAATAAACAGAGGGGGGAACCATTTGAAGCCGTTAAATATTATGAATTAATCAAGTAACAGAAAGTATTGTGAACGGCACTCGTAGAAAGAAGTAGAAAGATAGAAGAACACACTAGACAACATAAAAATCGAAAGCTATAGTTACCGTGCCGGGAATTGAACCTGTCACCTCCAGACGGCGTCTGCGCCTCGCCATGAATACAAGTGCACTAAGATACATGGTCAACTCGGCACCCCCAAAAAAAAAGGTGTCTCATTGGCCATGTCTATCGTACAGCTTGAAATCCACGACTATGGAATACGGACAGAATTCATTTCAACCCATTGAAATGGCACCATAGGTTACAGAAATTTATATTAACGAGGCAAATGTCAAATAACAATCACAGCAACAATTTACGTACACAGTAGACCTTATTGCCCTGTCTAGAATACACAAACATTTAAGAAAGGTATTTGATTGGTAGGTTCCGGTGTGTATACGTCATTCCTATAAATAAACAGAGGGGGGAACCATTTGAAGCCGTTAAATATTATGAATTAATCAAGTAACAGAAAGTATTGTGAACGGCACTCGTAGAAAGAAGTAGAAAGATAGAAGAACACACTAGACAACATAAAAATCGAAAGCTATAGTTACCGTGCCGGGAATTGAACCTGTCACCTCCAGACGGCGTCTGCGCCTCGCCATGAATACAAGTGCACTAAGATACATGGTCAACTCGGCACCCCCAAAAAAAGGTGTCTCATTGGCCATGTCTATCGTACAGCTTGAAATCCACGACTATGGAATACGGACAGAATTCATTTCAACCCACACAGTCTACTGTGTACGTAAATTGTTGCTGTGATTGTTATTTGACATTTGCCTCGTTAATATAAATTTCTGTAACCTATGGTGCCATTTCAATGGGTTGAAATGAATTGTATTCTAGTAACATTTTGAGAACCACTACAAATAAAGAATGGAAGCTAAATGTATTTTAAAGCAAATATATTAGGAAATTGATGAAACAAAAAATATGATGAATTTTTTTTTTTTTAAAGGGTGGAGAATTAAGAATTTCTGGATAACCATTGGGATCAACAGTTATGTGAGAAAGATGGTCGTATTTTGGAGCTAATTCTAAAACATAGCATATAATTACTAAAGAGGCACTGGAATGGAAAACAAATAGATTGAGGAAATGAGGATGTCCAAAATTAGCCTTTTGTGGCTTTCTGGTTTAAAGATGCCACAAGATTCCATGCACAATATTGATGGAATAGAGGAAGTGACTTAAAGCTCTATGAGGCATACAAAGAAATACTAAAGAGGCACTAAAATGAAAAATTAATGGATTGAGGAAGCTAGTGTGTCCACGGAACACGCTGTTTTGGTTTTAAACAATGGATCAACATCATGGCACTAGGGTAGTAACCCATAAGTGCTTCGTTCTTCTTCTAACTCAGACTTGAGTCCGAAGAATCTTTGCGCAGTGCACAAACTCCGCAGCACCGGTGAGGATCCTGAAATACTTTAGGCAAATTTTTTACTCAAATTTTGCCTGGGCAGCGCCGTTAGGCTATTATTTTCAATTTCCAACCGCCAAGGATTTTCTTTTAACTTGTGCAGCAATACACACAGGCAACCAATCTTACTACACAGAGACTCGTGAGCACTCATACTCACAGTCAGGCATCGGTCTAAGTGTGTCTGTCTGTGACTTTGGCGGTGAGTTTGTGTTTATGAACAGAAACTAGATATCCTGACCTAGCTTCATTATTAGTCTTGTCCCCTGCCAGTTTTGAAGGATACATACCACCTGAAAGAATTGAATATCTGTGCACGAGATACACATTGATCCCTGTAAACTTGGCTCCATCAGTCCAGCTGTCTCAAAAGCACTTTTTTGGGGGTTTAAAACATAATAGTGTGTTCTATTTTCCCTCTGTGCTGCAAGCACAACAAAGCAACTCTTCGTTGTTGACGAAATGTCAGATTATTTGTTGCCTGCTGGCAAGACTGCATTGCAATTGAATGAGTCCTTTACAGCTGAAATACAGAATCCACTGTTTGCAGAAGTAGCTGCCTGTTAACATCAGGGCAAGTGCACGTTGATGACCATGTCTTTTTGGGCACGAAAGTCACCCTATCTCACGGCCACTTGATTCCTTAGGGGATTTCTCCAGGACACTCCTGTAGTCTATGCGTGTCATGTGTCCTCATTATGACCGTTTGGGGGCATTCCCCCCTGGAGTACTTCTTCCTCATATGCAGGCACCTTCAGCTCATGAGACCTACTGTTCACAGAAAAACAAGAGTTCTGAAAGCAAACCTGCCACTGTTGCTTTTCAGCTTGGTGTGTATACAGACGCATCAAGCCATATTGTAATGACCCCACAGCATAGGACACTAGCAGGACATCAATGGGAGCCGGCACGAAATGTTGCGTGCAAGCGGGATGGGGGTCACTCTCATGATAATTACCACTTTTTGTTTGCACAAATCTATTTATTTGTTTTTCATTTATAGTGTGAAACATTGCTCTGGGTTTGCTTTACATTACAGGCAGCACCCCATCGCCTACTCGTCCTACCACCGTGTCACCAACCACTCCAGATGAACATAAAAGCGGCGACAAGTCAAGTGGGCAGAGCTTTGATGCAGCTTCCTTTATTGGAGGGATGGTCCTGATTGGTGGCCTTATTGCCATAGTCTTTTTTGGCCTCAAATTTTACAGGGCTCGAAAAGAGCAGAGCTACCGTACTCTTTAATGTTTTCTACATTTTTCTGTTTCGGTTCTGAAAATGTTGAAGCATGCTTTTTAAATTACATTACTTTTTTGCCTCCGAAATTGTTTGATTATTTCCAAACTAAAATATGAGCAACTTTGAATCTAAGAAGTTTGTTATACTTTTCACAATTAACAAATTCTGTTTTTTAAAAAAAAGGTAGTCACTGTTGGCTTTTTATAAATAAAATAAATGGATTACAAATATGATTTTTTTTTTTAAATTATCAAACCACTTGCAATGTCCTTTTTCATTCTCGTGTTTTTTTTTTTCTAATCAGATTTACAGTGGTATGTTTTTTTTTAGTCATCATTGGGAAAAGTAAACACGGATTTTTATTCTCTTTGCTTTCTGTTAATTTGCTAAAGATTATCTGGATTTTAATTCAGTTATATCATTTTAATATTTTGATTTTGTGTGTATGTGTGGAGGGAAGATTGTACTGCTGAAGTTTTCTAAAGCACACAGTCCGCAGACATGGATTTAGTCATTTTCAAGTATCGGTATTTGAACACTGTTGTCTTTAATGACTACATTTCACTTTATTCAGTGAATGTTTTCAGCATTGTTTTTTTTTTTTTTTGCGGCACTTTTGACAGTCGGAATTTAAATGTTTATTATTTAAATCAGGAGTGTCAAACATGCAACCTCTTGTAGGTAGTTTTTGTTTTTTGTTTTTTTTTAATTAAATGACTTCAATTAGTTGTCATGTGGGGACTCTTAGTTTGATCTGTTTGTTTCAAACCATGCAGTTAAGTACGGTTGGCAAACAACAGATGATCAAAATTGAGTAGGGATGTAAGTAAAAATGTAATGATATTCTCAGATAGTGTGACAAATGTTTCTAAGTTCAGATACAATATGATCTGTTTGTGAAATGCATAAATGCTGTATTTTGTTTTGGGAAGTATTCATTTAAAGATTTTTAATCATTAAACCTAATAACAAACAGCTGTAACATGCTGATGTTTTCATTAGAAGAAAAGTACAAGCCTTTAGTTTAAAGAGTGAAAAATCAAAACCCACTTGAGTGAAATGTCGGAAAAGTCTTGTCCACAGTCCTCAGAATGGCACATTATGCTGTATCCTCTGTGCCGTGGGAACATACCCTGTTTTCTCTGTCCATGCTGATGAATTCTCCTTTATCCTTGCTTCATATGCTGACAATTTCTCAGGAGTTGGAAATGGTATGTTGTATTGGCTAACTTTTCCAGTGAACTTTAACATAAATGCTTGCAGTATATGTTCGGTTGTAATTGACAACACAAAAACATCTAGAAGATGTCAGGTCTTTTCTCACTCAAAAAATAGGAAAAGTGTATAGAAAGTAAGGTGGCCTGTGTGAGAGATTTAACTTGAAGCAATCTCAGAATATGTGTATAGTTGTCACCCACGCCATAGCTTTGTCACTGATTATGTATTTTGATAACATTACAAAGTACAGTGGGAGGGGGGTCGCCATGGCGGTATGGCTAGGTGCTCACCGCGGATCGGAAGGTAGTGGGTTTGCTCCCTGGCAAAGGCGGACTTTTTTTTCTCCAAAAATGACCTTGGTTCCCAGGTCGACCCAACTTTGAGTAGTTATCCGGGTGCAGTCCCGGAAAGTAAAGGCGACCGGCGTGATGCTGACCACATCATCTATCTTGTTCTAAAAGGTTTATAAAAAATATAGGTCTAGCCCTATATGCCTAAAAGCGTGGAAAAGGGTCCTTAACTTACTGTACAAAGAACAGGAAGAAGAGCTTTGTACATTTTGTTACAGAGTATTACGTCTGCCATATTTTCACATTTGGTATAATATGCCTCTGTTTAGGATTTATGAATAAGAAATAGAGCAGTGAATTAATACCGTCAAAAAATGGTTAGCAGACATTGAGAGCACTTGTTACAAGATAGATTGACAACTATAGATTTAAAAAAGCAAATCCAAATATAATGACTAAACAATGGCAAGGTTTGAGAATTGAATATTATATACAAGTGAAAAAATGGGAGCTGTGTTAGCAAAGTGGCTATTCTGTTCATAGCATTGCACACGACACTGAAACTTTGTTATTATGTTTGCCAGCGGCTGTTCTTGATTTGCACACCTCCACGGCTTTCCTTCCGATCAAAGAAATATTCCTTGTGTGGGCTCCGGGGCCCCATTGTGGGGAAAACAAGAATAGACCCACTGTCTCCCCAACAAGCATGTCGTAAGAGTCAACTGTTTGGGGGCTTCCTTTAAGGTCGGAGTGCATCTGCCTGAGAGGCAAGGAACCAACACTCTGCATACAAATAAAGCAAGATCTGTAAAACTGATCCACATGTAAAACTCAGGTCCTGGAACAAAACCAAGATCCAGAAATGAACAAACAAGCAAGTCTTTCCGCCGGGGTTTATAGCAAGGGTTTACTGTGAATGCAAACAGACAACAGCAAAGAAATATGTTTCAGCTTGTAGAAGTGCAAATGTTCTTTAGGTGTTATTACTACATTTATGTAATTTGTAAGTGTATCAATTAAAAACACTCGTGTAAGCCTTGTATATATACATATATTTTTCACATTTAATTTTTTTCTAATACTTTGTGATCTGAAAAACTCATTTGTGCTTTGTGATGCAGTAACAATACAGTCGAGTCTACTTAAGTTGAACTCGGATAAGTCGAATTTCGGTTAAGTCGACAGGACCAGCTTAGTCCCGGCAATTTTCTCTGTTGTGTGTGCTGTCTGGAAAAGTAGGAATCCTGATAAGTGGAAGCATTCTCTGAGGTCCCTGTGACTTCTACTTATCGAGACTCGACTGCAATTGTTTAAAAAAGAGATCTGGGAAACTACATTTTCATTGTGTTTTTCTCCAGATGATTTCCACATGTCTTTCTTTTGTCTTTTGTGTAATCATTAACTGATAGTTTGCTTCTGTTGTTTTTTTTCTTCATGGCGAATAAAATTAGAGAATGACAGGTGCTGTTCTGCCTTTATCAACACAAAGTAACTTTGTTCAGAAAATATGAGAGTTAATTAAGGTGGTAGCTACATCAAAAAAGCCACACACACAAAATTGTGTATTCTTGCTCTAAATCAACTTGAACATATCCCCGTATATAAAATCACTATTAAAATATAGATACCATGCATTGATAAGAATCATATTTTTCTATATTATTGTAGGCCAGGTCTCAAAGTATTTAGTGTAATTCGTGTCCAGCTTAACTGGCTCACTGTTGAAACACAGTCTAATCTGTCGCTGTTATCCGTCCTGAAAACCTTTCGTCCACATATGTTTAAGCTTAGGGAGAAGTAAAATTAGCCAAAATTACCCCCTAGACTACTTTGTCTTTGTGGGTACACTCTTCAAAGATTCTTTCCATCTGATTGTTTCGCCTTTGTAATTGCTTTCCTTTTCAGAATCATGCAGCTTTTAATATATCCCAGATATTTGTAATGATCTTGATAGCAAAGAAACTGTTTGGATATCGTTAACAGAATATAGTTGATTGCACAACACCTGGACTGATAATAAAAGTAATAGAACAGCATGAACTGTGTCTTTTGACAGAGAGCTTATAGAAAAATGGGACTTTTTTGTTGTTGTTGAAACTCTTGGTATACCACCTTCTGTAAATGGGGAATTCAGGTGACCAGGCCTCCAGTTTGTCAACTGTTTATAATTTTTTTGGTTATGTAATGAGCACCAGGAGGTTGTTCCAAAACCCTAAGGTTTGATATTTATGTTAACAAAATAACAGCCATCACATTAAATTTGTGCCTGGGTTGAATTAGATATTACTATAAGAGTTGTGGGGTGTACTAAGGGTTAAAAAGGCTGTGTTGGTCAAGGCAGATTGCTGAGACATGTTATGATGAAGGTGGCTTTGCTGTATCATTCCATTATATTGTGCCAGCTGTGTTTGATATGATTGTTACTTGCTATACTTTCAATGCTCATTCCACATGTCCTGTACTAGTGCCTTGCTGTTTTAGCAATATTTAATGTTTTCTGCACATTTCTGGCCAACTTCTACCTGCCAGAGAATCTCCGTGTAACATACATTTGTAAAGGTACACAGGAAACAGCTCAGTAATGATTAAACTCACCTGTTTTTATATCACTAGTCTAGGAAGTTGAGCTGTGTATCTCTTACAGCTTGTTGCAGAACCAACCCCAGCATTTGTAGGCTGTTTTTGGTTTTTCTAGGCAAATTTTACATTTGGTAGATTGCCAGTGCTCTATAAATGGTCAGCTCTTGAAATCACTGTTGAAACCAGTGCAAGACAGTCTGCTGCCAAGTCACCTGCAGAACACTGCCTAAAGGTCTAGGTAGTACGGACGTGTAAAAAGATCTAACGACCTCGCAAAATCCATACTACAGGGCTCAGTAGAGAAGTGGAAAAACCAAGAAAGTCCCAGTTACAGAACTTGATAGACTGGGCAGGCCTTAAGCGTGCAACCATGTAGTCCATTGCATCTGGCCGTCAAAAGTGGAGAGAGCTGTTTAGTCAAAAGAAACTGTTGACCCAACAAAAGGCATTGTTACGGGATATGATGATGAGGTTGTAACACATCAGAAACTAGTGAGAAACACAGTTACATTATACAGATTGACAAAAGGGGAAATTTACACAGATGAAGAAATGATTTCATAACCAGAAAAAGATATTTGTTTCGACAGTGTTTTTGAAAGATTTGTATTGCGCTTTGCTTGTTGCTGCAGTGATCCTGCAACATTCCAGCTGTGAACATATTTGGCTTTGTTTTGTTGTTGATACGGTTGGTGAGGATATGCATGCATTCAGGGGGTCTGTTGCAGGACCCAGATGATATTTAGGCTGTTGCAAATGTGAGGGTGTATTACTTTTATTGGTTGTGTATAGGAGCAGTTGGCCAAGCAGTTAGAAAGATCTAAACAGTTTATAGAGACTGCACTAACCATGTTGCCCAAAATGTTTAGGTTGAAGACCTCCTTCTCATATACAGTCCCAAAAATAGGTGATAAACAC